GGCTTTTATTACTTCTAATATTTTACATAAACAGACAAACATGTACTTATATACATAGACTTTATTTTAAATATGTCCTGTATTTACGCCAATTGTCATGTTAAAAGTGAGAAAGTGTGTCAGTGTGGCTCTGCGATGGGATTGACCATATCAACTGTGCTGTTTTGAGTGGTAGGGTGTTAGACGCTATTAATCTTGCCAAAAATGCAGATCCACCGAGGTTAATTTATTTAAATTGTTAAGCCATCAATCGATTACGAAAGTGCGATCCCTGCTGAAGTCTAGAAAAAGAAGTCTGATGAGGAGATGTGGTGATCTCCGAAATAGCTGCTATAACTTCTACCGCTTAGACTTTGTTGCTTTTTCAATTTTTCCTAATAAACAATCGTGGTACAAAGCTCAATAAAAATATAAAAATAAACAATCCGGAAATGGTTTTCTGGATGTCGGTGCTAGTTGAAGAACTTAAGCGTTATAAAAAAGTGTTTAAGTCTTTCACATGCCTCGACAATTCTCAACACTCTGAGGATAGCCAAGAAAGAAACGTAGGCGTCTTAATAGTCCACCTAAAAAGATGGTCATATTCTCAGAAAAATCCACAAACTCAGTTGATTTAACAGTGTTGCCATCGGCATCTGAAGCTTTCTAACATGGTTCCTCCGAATAACTCGGAATTACGCATATCTGAAGTCACTACCAAAAAGGTGGTTGTAATTCCTCCGAGATGGTCAATCTTTGTCTCTAGAGTCTAGACTTGCTAAATACACTTCTTCGATGTGTATAAAGTTAGCGAAAAAAACATGAATAAAAAAATATCGCGTATAGCCATGAATTTTCCGTTTTTGGTGTGTATACATCTTTGGTGTCGGTAGGGGTAAAATTTCGAAAGGCTTAGCATGCCGTCACTGCGCCAACAAAAACAGTTATGTGTTTTTAATAACCTTTCCAGAGAGCAAAAAACTGATTCCTGCTGCCAATAGGCAATATTTTGCAAATGTCGTATTAAAAAAAAATATATTAAAAATACGTTATTTATTTATGAAAAAAAATAAATCCATTTTTTTGACCAATTACGACGTAATCAACATTTGCGCCGCTTTAAAGCACATAGCTGTTTTTATACACGATTTAAATTTGCTTCTGGCGGTATGGAATCGTATGCAATTTGTACAAAATGCAGTCGTTAGGCCTAGATGCAATGTACAGAAGTTGAGGACTCGATTAGTTAACTGCCCGTTGCTCCTGACAATCAATGTTGGTCTCCTTGCCGTGAATATTGTCCTTAAGTGGTGACATGGGGGTCCTTATGGGCTTCCATATCAGCGTGAACTAAGAGGGAGGCTCCGCATGGGAACCTGTGTAAGACATGAGCAGTATTTGATTTTGCACACATTAGGAGGGGACACTTGTTAACTCTCTTTATATGCGTAAATATAAAAAAAAAATTTATAAAGCAAATTTCAAACATTTGATGTGTAAACTGTGAAATTGTGAACATTAAGTGTTTAGAATAATAAACATATATATTTTAAATTTGTTCAAGCTACACATATAATAAGTATAAGCAAACAAAAAGTGTTTAATTAAGTTAACACAGAGTGTAAATTTGCATTCATTAAGAGAGGAAGCTGGTTACTACCTTAATATACGCAAATTTAAACACAAATTTTTTAGAGTGTGTATCGATCATCAAATATTGCTTGGGCAAAGTCCAACTATGTAAAGATGTACCTATTTCACAAAGGACACGGGTAGTGATTTTTGAACTTATTAAAATTTGGGCATATAAATCGAAAACCGGGGCATTTAAACGAAACCCGGAACATTTTAAGGTTGGACCGGGATACCGGGACAAATATTCTAAAAAAAAAATTTACAAAAATCATATAACCGTTTTTGTGGGCGCAGCGAAAATTATTCCACCAGAAAATTTTTATTTTCGTTAGAGGCGCCCTGTGTTTAATTGCTATTGTTAATGATTGCATACATTTAGGCATATGCAGAGTAAGAGGAAATGCGGTACAACTTAATATTATTTAGATTATGCAAACTCCGCGCGTGCATACTTCTATGTACCATGCGTACACATACTTAAGTTCACATGAACATTGGGGCTGCCAGACCTCCTGGTTTCCAGGACTTGCCAAAAAATGCCAAAAAAGTGCAAGCTCCTGATCAGATCATCACGGCTGAAGGGACATACATACATAAGTACTACCCAGAAGGTAATTTCAGGATCTAAAATCTCACCAAAAGGGCCTTTCTTTCCTTTCTCCTTCACTTTTTGTATGGAGTGGCACAAATTGAAGGAATTCAGCTTTCGCTACTCAAAAAAGAGCTTTCAGAAGGGCTTTTGTAGGACGCTTTCTGAAGAAGTTCGTTTAAAGTTTTTCTTAATTCATAAAAACCATACTTCTTTAAGGAATTTATTTAGGGTTCATATCAGAAAGTTTTATTTAGACTTTAAATGTCTATTTGTAATGCTAAGTAATATAAACGTTTACTGAAGTACATTCGCGTAAATTGTAAATAGGAAACACCTTTCTAGGAAGCTGCAGTCCTTGTTGGGTAAGCCTTTTAGAATAGCTTCACTTAAGGCAGACTACCTAAATTATCTTCAGGTTATGCATACAGTATATTTTGCTTAGCTGCCCACCCTTCTTGGCATGAAAAATTTTTGCGCTTAACCGAAAAAAGCACTTAAGCGAATTCGCTTTACTACTTCTATGAGGATGGTATCCGAATCCCTATGAAACCAAATAATAGAGGAGCACTTACCACGTAGAAATTACTGTGATAAATTTATTGAATATTTGGAGAACGAATGAAGAAAATTTTCACAATAAACTTCAAGTACATTCAGGTACACATGATTAAAACATACGATCAAAAGTTTAACAAGTATAATTGATCACAAGTTGTTTTCATGAACACGCCTCCTCAACTGTGATCATACTGTTGAATTAATGCCCATTGACTTGATACAAACTAATTCTTGCAACTGGTTTAGTGGGAACATCAGCTGGCATCTAATTTGTTGAAAGATATTCTATTTTATTGAAACCATTCTGACATGCTTCGCGAATGAAATGGTATTTATAATCAATGTGCTTAGTTCTAGAGCACTGATGGGCACTGCCTTACCCGCGGGCAAATCTCTTTTAAGCTTTCTATACATTTTGTATAGGCGCGAGCAGAGTAAAAGCTCTCTCTGCCCAACGCTGTTCTAGAGTGATGTCCTCCAAACGTAGCCATTTGATGTGCACTTTGTGAATCGGAGTAAAGCACTAGTGGTGCAGTTATTCCATACCCAAGCTCATACAGCAAGTATCTCAAGTATTGTGCTTCTTTGGCTGCTTCTGATAGCGCACTGGATGTTTCCACAATACGTTGCTTCCTCGACTCCCAAGATACCACGCCATCTGCGAGTAAAAAGCAAAAACCAGTCTGAGATTTACGATCATTTACATCTGTAGCCCAATTGGCGTCAACGTAGCCTAAAAGTGGACTCCCCGTTTTTCTATATGTTAAAACAAAATTTTGCGTAGGGTTTAAATATCGTACCTACGTGGATCTTGGTTAAACTGCGATAACATATTAACACTACATGGTATATTCAGGACGGCTAAAAACTGAAAGATGTAAAAGTGATCCTACAATTTCTTGATACTTTGTTTTATCAATCTTTTGTGCTTCCCCTGGAATTTTAGGATCTTTTTCTAATATCTTTTTTGCTTGCATAGGAATTTTCACCGGTTTTGCGGTAGTTTGACCATATTTTTGGATTAAATTCGCTATATACATAGGTTGTGAAATTGATAAACTCCCATTATCAACCTTAATTCTCTAACCAATCTCATTATTTGATCAAATGATTAGATCATCAACATAAAGTGCAACAACGAAATTTTTATTCTTCCATGTGTATATGCATTGATCGTAATTGGATTGAGTTGAGCCAAAACTTTTGATAACGTCGTCTATTCTTTTGAACCACTGTCTTCCAGCTTGTTTAAGGCCATAAATGGCTTTTTTAAGTAGACATACTTTGCTTCTCCTATTTTCATCAACATATCCTTCAGGTTGTTGCATAAAAATCTCTTCTTCTAAATTACCATTCAAAAATGCAGTAGATACATCCAACTGCCGTAACTTAAGATTATACTCAACTGCTAGTGCATAAATAAGACGTATTGAACTTTGTCGTACTACTGGTGCAAACGTATCTGTATAATCAATTCCAAACTCTTGTGAATATCCTTGTACCACTAACCTCGCCTTCCTCTTGTCAACTGTACCATCAGGTCTTATTTTCGACTTGTAGACCCATTTGCAACCAATTGCTCTTCTTCCTTTAGGTAAATCTACTAATTTCCAGGTTTTATTTTTCATGAGAGAATCATATTCTATTTGCATAGCATCTATCCATTCATCTTATACTGATGAAGATATAGCATTTAGGGTCTTCTTCTTCCGACGCTTTCTTGACAGACTCATTCCCAAAAGCCCATGACCGTAAACGTCTCTTAATTAAATTCTCAGGCACTCCATTGCGATCTTCAAAACTAAACCTTGTAGTAGCGTCATCCTCTCTTTTTCTATGTGTAGCAGTATCGATATTATACATATATGTACAAACATAAATCGGTCATCACTAGTTACTGTAAATAACCCCTAGATTAAGTTGTATATATTTCGTCACACTCTAGCTTTAAGTTACAAAACTATTTATAATAGCTTGTTGATTATGTCTCACTCTCGCACTAAGATATAAACCTATAAACCCGCTAAGTAATAGCGAACGAAGACCAATAAAGAGTTGACGAAAGTCAGTCGTGGTACAGCATTGTTAGCGAAACGACGTGGTTTTATTTAATCGGTCATCTACCACAATTTTCAGAAGTGGTCGGGTCTCGCGCTAAATATTTAAAGTTAACAAATAAATAAAGTATATTTCACCCAAATAAAATAACTTTTAAATAAATATTCAAAGTGTGGAAATGAGCGCAATAGGTTCAAGCGATTTTTCTATTAACGTGCTACGTGCGTGGTGCAAAAAACTGGGCCTGCCAACTCATGGCAATAAAAGTTCGTTGGCTGCGCGCATAAACGAAGTAGATTACGCCGTTCGCGGATGTTGTCCGCGTGATCTCGACATAGCGGGAATAGAAAATTCTAGCGACTTCGAAAGCGAAGCTACAAATGAGGAGCAACAACAATGCGCAAGTACGCATACTAATAACACGACAAGTGTAGCGACAAATGAAGAGACTAATGAAGAGCAACAACAGTGCGCAAACGCAATCACAAACGATAAGGCATTCAAAAGGGAAAAGCAGCAGACAAATGAAACGCAACAATCGTGCGCAAACTCAATTGTAAACGATAAGACAGACAAAAACGAAAAGGGGCAGACAAATGAAAAGCAACAGCATTGCGCAAACGAATCTACGAATGATGAGACACACAAAAATTTAAAGGAGCAAACAAACAAAGTAACGAGCGAAACTGAAATTTTAAAGCGACAGAAAAATGATAACGAGTGCATGCACGAAGTGACAGATAACTTAGCTTGCGGTACGGCACAACAAAAAATGCAACCATTCGACGGTCGTAAACAAAGCGAATGTATCGAAGCAAATGAAAAACACAATAGACGAAATAATTTCACAAACGAAAGCGAAAGTCAACAAGCAGCATACGAGATGATGAAAGATTCTTCCAACACTAGCTCAGCAAACAAAGAAATCAATTTTATACAAAAAGAGTTAGAACTACTACGATTCGAAAGAGAGTTACTGCGTCGAGAGAACGAACTTCTAAAAATGAAAGAAACGGCGCCATCAGCGAAAACCGCAGCTAAAGAAGATGTTATTCCCTTCAACTGTTTAAAAGAATTTTTTCCTGACTACGACGGGGAAACGAATGTAAATGTGTGGCTCGCCCAAGTAGAGGGTATTAAAAGATCGTATGATTTGTGCGAAAACAAAGTGCGCGCATTAGTATACGGAAAATTAAAAGGTAAAGCACTAATATGGCTGCACTCTAAGCCAGAATTCGCAACTGAACCTGTCGACTATCTGCTTTCGGTCATCAAAAAAGTTTTCGCGTCAAAAGAAAGTGCTATCTTTTTACGGCAAAAGTTTGAAACACGCAAATGGCGCGTCGGAGAAACATTTTCCGAGTACTTTAATGAGAAGACAATGCTAGCAAATGGTATTCATATTCCAGAGAACGAGCTAATTGATTACATCGTTCACGGAATACCTGATCGCCAGTTACGTATAAGCGCAAACATGCAATGCTTTAAAAACACAGACGACTTGCTGTCAGCATTCACCAACATCACCCTTCAACGTCAAACTGCGCATCCGATGGACCGTGGTGCAAGCAGTGCTGTGAAAAACGAGAGGCCAGTTGGGCGGTGCTACAATTGCAACTGCTTAGGCCACATCGCTTCAGAATGCAGAAAATCAATTCGTGTGGACGGCGCTTGTTTTGCTTGTGGTGAACTGGGACATCGTGCTGCGGACTGCCGGCTCAACAAGAAGAAGACTGATGCCGTTGCGAAGAACTGTGACTATGTAAGGTGTTTTAATATTACTTTAACAAATAATAATAGTATTTCGTTTTATGTAGAATGCCTCATAGACTCGGGTAGCCCAGTCAGCATCATTAAAAGATCATTAATTCCAGGCCACATTGAAGTAAAGGCTGCAAC